AAGGGGAGTGTACAGGCACAGAATTTATAGGCGGAGAGATAATTGCAAGATAATTCCAGGTAATTAAGACTCTCAACAGATAAGTACAAATAGTGTGAGTGGAGTGTCAACAAACTGAATAACAAGTCTTTGGAGATGATCAAAAGTGTCAAACAATGTGAGTGAAGTGTCAACAACTGAATAACAAGTGAAGGAATGACCTATGATCCGATTAATTAAAGCAGAGATATAATTACAAAAAGTCAAAACTAAAATGGTGCCAGAGACAAATCTTCCTTACTGTTCTGTTTTGACATCATCACCTTGATAACTTGTTATTATCTTCCTATCTTAATTTGTACAGTTTTAGATTACTTGTTACTTTGGTTAGATCCTTGTCATGCGACTCTGATACCTTTTCATGTTATTCTAGCCATTTGGTTTGTCTCTAGCGCCATCTTACTTTTGATTTTTTTGTAAATATCTCTCTGTTTTAATCAATTGGATCATAGGTCATCCCTTCACTTGCTTTTCAGCTGTTAACACCTTTGATCATCTGCAAAGACTTGTTATTCAGCCTGTCAAAGCTCCACTAACACTTGTCTGGTGACACTCTTAATTACCTGGAATTATCTTACCATTATCTCTCTGCCTATAAATCCTGTGCCTGTGTGTTTCCCTCCACTTCAGCTGATGAAGGACCAGCACTCAGAAAGCTTGTGATTTCAAATAAACCTGTTGGGCTATAACTTCTGACTTTGTCGATACCAGTCTAACAGCGGCACCTCCACATCAATAGTATGTTCTGCTAGACTGTTTGAGTGTTGATAGTAAGGTGATGAAATATGTGGGTCATTCCCCATTTAATACACATATCTTAAAATGGTTGTCAGAACTGTTGTCTATTGTCAGATGCTATCCAAACCCATATGGAAAATAAACTGAAAAATGTGGTCAATGTGTCCATGACAGTCACATTTGTTGTATTGCTAAGTCATCAAACAATGTAAAATTCGGAGAAATAATCCATCATAAGGTTTAAACCTTCTGCATGTACTGTGGAAAAAAATCCATTGAGTTTTGATCAAGAAGTGGGTGGAACATCAGATGGAGTCTCAAGCTCCCTCTACTGGGTATTGTGTGTTTGGCATGCTTCACATGCATTCATGAGTAATTGAGTATCCTGATTCATCCCTGGCCAGTGCACAACTACACATGCTGGCCCACTTGAGGATCATGTACTCATGTCTCCATGGTGTAATATGACGTGCTATCTTGGCATAATCATTTCAGCATTAGAACTTTTTTGCCCTTGAAAATGACTTGTCATGATATTCTGAGTTCGTCTCCGTATGGCCAAAAGTAACTAATGTTCTCAGGTTGTCTTTAAAATTGTCAGGCTGTCCCTTGATAATGGTTGTTTATAATTTTTATAGTCCTCCATTTTTGAAAGTTGCTAACTGCAACTGTTCACATTGGCATAACATATTGAAGATGAAGACGTTCTTAAGGTCAATTAATTTGTTTGGTGGAACAGACCCTGTGCGCCACACAATATGATTTGAATTTCATGAATTGTGACTATCTGAGATATGGGTACTGCTGCCAGTGCCGGACTGTTGATATCTACCATGTAGAACATTTCAGGAAGCCATGATGAGCTTGTGTAATAGCATTGCAATGTGATTTGTCATGATACACCAACTGTCTCTGACTAAAATGAACAAATATTCTCAGGTATGTCTTTAATACTGTCAGGCCATCCCTGGATAATGGTTGTTTGCAACTCTTTTACAGACATTGATTTTCATTGCAGTATGATTCTGCCAATGCATGTAATTGGTGTTTCATTGTGTGCTGAAAGATAGTCCCTTGGAGGCTATACCATGGAGAGCTACTTGTTCAGGTAGAGGTCTTTTAGAATGCGCAACAGTACTGTATTGGTACTAGGTCCCATATCGAATTTATTTTTCAGGTTTTCAAGACATATTAATGTTAATGATCATTAATGTTGACCAGATAAATGATGGGAAACATATTCAGTGGGATGAAAACTGTGGTGGGTTTTTTCATGTTGTGAAAGTTGTCTTTCACTCACTGAACCGCACCGATATGATACACAAAGGCAAACACTTCAAAACTTTCCTTGCTGCCAGCATTGTGGTGCTTTACTACCTGTTAGTGACTTGTTTTTGTTCTGGGATCAGCTTGGTTTTTGAAACCATATTTCCTAAACATGCATGCAAAATGACCCTTGGTGCCATACGATTTTCAGATTTCAAGAAAAGTTGGATAACTTTTGCACAGGTGTGATAAACTACAGCTGTTACATATTGTATTGAATTGTTGATTGTAACAATAGTGTTGGCTTCACCTAAAGCATATAATGGTTGTTGTTGAGCCACCAATATACTTTCATATACTGAACCATCATCAAGTAATCCATCAATTATATGACTCTTCCACTTTTCTATAAGATCCTTCCTGAAGACTTAAATTGGTGTGAAGAAAATGGCGAATTCAATAAGCCCCTGACCACTCCTCTTCAGAGAAGTCACATTCATAACCTTGCTACAGTATCCAACAAACTGACCAATAGATTCTTTTCATTGGAGTCAATTAATCCTGAATGTTAATTTCAGTATTTTCTAAAATTTTTCTGATTCTTTCCATTCATCAATAGGAAGACCAATGTATTAATTCTGTGAAACTCCTCTTGCCAATGTCTAATAAAAGATTTTCAAATCCACTTCTCAGGATTATTTTTCACTTGGTCTGTACGATATAGATGTATGTATTGTTTGAAAAATTAGAATTCAATAATGGTATAACTGGCTACCCATTCCAGACTTAAGTCTTTGCCTTCTTGAGGAAGACCTTCTATATTTTTAAAAATAGAACACTAAGGAACTTCCAAAGGTTTTGTTTCACTCTTTTTATTATTTTTGCCTTTATTGTATCTGTTTCCCTTAATTTTTGCCGGTTATTATTTCTTCCTTGGCTTTAATCCCTTTGATAATGTTGGATTAAAAAGTACAGCCTCATCATTCAAAAACTACAGGCTTGCATTTTGTAGGCTTCCGTCAGTAGATGACTTTTATGGCAAGTAAGTGATGATGATGACATGTAGGCCTCTCTCCATTTTCACACCAAATTGGAGAGACAAAATGACTAAACCGACCAAGGTTTGGATACAGGTAGAAGTACTTAGTATAGAAAACAGTTTTTAAGTGTTTCTTACCTGTATCTTTTTTCTATGAAAGCTTTTTAACCATGCATGGAGCAGCATTTTTTTCAAAAGGAGATTCAGAACTGCAGGTTGTCAATTTGTTTGTCTTTATTACTGTCTCAGCAAAATACTGTAACATTCAGACTGATTTGTATTTGCAACTTTACTGTTACAAATTTCTTCTGGATTGAAAGAAATTTGAAATTATCTCTGCCCTTTGTGTTTAGAGGAACTGATCATGCTGAATGTCTGAGCTCTGATCTCAGGTGCTATTATCTAGTTTACCATCAATTAGGTTTCCAAATAACTACCACTGAAATCTTGAAGGTATCTCTTTTTACAGTCACCACTACTTACCATTATTTATGTTTTGTGTCCAGCAAAGTTTTTTTTTTAACCTGATGCAGCAATGCTTGTGTTATGTCCTATAATGTAACAATCTAGATCTGCATTATATGACACTGAAGAATTAGGCATGAAGTAACTTTGGGGTTTTGAGGGCTCCCTTCCTTGTGCTTTCTAATTACTGTTCTAGCTGTGGTCTTATAACCACAAACCATGAGAATCCATGAGTATTCATATATTTGAAGATTGAGTACCATCAGGTTTCACTTATCTGTGGTATCCTGGAAAACTACCTCAAAAAAGTTCAAAATCCATGTTTTAAGTTTTTTTTTCCTATATGAAACTGTAATATGTTGAAAGTATTCATTACTCCTATTAATGGCTTCTGAGGGTGTTTACTGTCATCAATGTTCAGAGGGAACATTTTCTTAATTCTAGCAAACAGCAAGCCATGACTCAATCCCCAAATTCCCAGTGAATCATTGTTAATCAAAAATGAATTCTATTGATTGTAGATATGCCAGCTTAATCAAGTATGCAGTTCACTGCCTCTTCAAGCTGATGTTATGGACCAGACCAAATCCCCTCAAAATATTTTAAGAAGGTAGCCTAGACTCTAATGTTTTCTTATTTTATAGGTAAATGTAAGGTGTTGTGTTCCAGATGCAATTCAATTGGTCAATCGACAAGGCTTGAAATAAAACACACTATTTATACACTACAAGTAAAATACATAAAAATAAAAGAATTGGCTTAACTCTAACTCTAATGAAATGCTTAATAAAATAATAGATATATTAACAACTACTAATTAACTGTTCCATTTTCTAACATCCCATAAACACATCCTTGGCAAAAGCAAATTCAGTAAAACAGATTATCTCACATGCAGTTCTAGCAATAGGAAGAGAACCTCAGCTTTTAGCTGTAACAGTGAGAGGAATAATAGTTTTCACATCCAGATTCAAGACCCCAGTAACTGCTACTGAAAACTAAAACTAAAAAGAAATCCTGGTTCTATGGGAGCTTGAACCCACCCATTCGGGCTCTTCTATTGTTCCAACTTTTTTGAAAAACCCAAGGCCTCAGAAACTGTTTACTTTATTGGCTTTGGAGCAGACTGCTTGCCACCTGTCTCAATCTTTCTTCATATTTTAAAAAAAAGGACAAAATACACCTCTTAAAACCATAGTATCGTGGCACTAATAAATTGCATTGTCCCAGCATCCTTCTGAGATATAGCTCCAGGAAACCCTGCACTACTAAGAGGCACAGGCCTCTGACAGAAACCATTGCAAAAGGTATTTCAAATCCACTGCACTGTAGTACATGTAATTCAAAATTATTTTGGGGAATAAAGCCTATATGTATTTTTTAAAAAGTATTTGTACTCAATTCTTGGCATATCAGTGAGAAAAATCAATTTTATGTATTTGTTTTGCCACAGGTGATATGCACCAGGTCAGAGGAATACAACCGTCGTGAAGTTTTGTGTAATGGTGTCCCTGAGGGACCCATTCAACGTAATCCAGGGAACCAGGATCAAAATAGAACACCAAAGCTTCCAATCTCAGCAGAAGTGGAATTCTGTCTAACTTTGACAAATTATGAAACTCCACCTTTTGATAAGTTTTCTAATTTTAGCTTCCGGAATACTTTAGAAGGTATCTTTTGTGTTTTTGTTTCCAAGTTTTATGCCATTTGGAGGATGTGGAAATCTATTTCTTCGTATAGCTCATTAAAATGACTTCAGCATGCCATATTTGTTTATAATATAGGCAGAGATGTTCTTTTGAAATATATGTACGTGGGCATTATTGTAAGAAGCAGTGTGGGGAAACTTTCAGAAGTTTGATAAAGACATGGATGTTGGCTTAAGGTTAAAACAACTGGTATTATTCCTGCAAGAAATTGCCTCTGTAAACTGGTGTATAGTGCACAACTAAAATTATCCTTCTATAACATGCTTATGATGACATCTTCTGGACCAAATTAGCCTTTTTCTATTTTTTTTACAATAGAGCAGCATATAGAGTTACAGGCCAATATTTAATCAGAACTGATGGGAAAGGGAAAGTGGGACCAGAAATGAATGGTGAAGGCCCCACCATTTAGACTGTTGTTCCTGTACAAGTAGTTCTGCTATAAAGCATGTTTCGTTAATGGGAATTGGCACGATTTCATGTGACACGCGGTCACACAAGAACGCAACTATCGTGTTATAGGAGAACTACCTGTAGATATCTCACACTGCTGGGGCCATTTCGTGGCTGGGGAAGGTCTGAGGCCATTCAGCAGCTGGAAGTGAACTCTGATGTGCTGTATTGTTACCTGACAAGAAAGGAAGTGCTGACTCCATGTTTAAACAGCCGCCAGCATTCAAGTCCTCTTAACAGTCTTTGTTGTTGTGATATACTCTGAAAATGCTTAGCTGAATTTTTCAGGTGAACACTTACCTCTTCAGTACTCGGTGACCACTAACTCCTCTAGCATCCTGTTATGAAAAGGCTAATATGATTTGGGTGTGGAAAGGCAGACCAGCTTAGGATCTTGAAGGGGACAGACCTGTTTTCTTGGGTGTTTCAATACTCTTTGTAGCAATGTTCATCTTACTAAGGTAATTAGTCCATGATTGCTGTCATGCAATAAACTATACCTGTACTTTGCTTGAGAGAAGAGCCTCCTCTCGTTTTCCTTTGTTTCTTGTGTTTTCCTTTCCCACATTACATCAAGTAGGCCTTGTCGAATTAGGAGGATGGTGATGATGATGTATCCAACTACATGTATCAGTGGTTGTCAATGCATGTTCAGAAAACCCAATGCCAATGATGGCCATCTGAAGATTGAATTTAGCTGCACCATTGCAATACTTTCAGCCAGCCCTGACTGTTCCAGCCCCAGTTACCACTGACCATTCCAGCATCTTCAAAAGAAAGATGCAAGGGAAATTTGCCTGGTGGTATGGCAGAAGCAAGGTTCCAAATGACTACAATTCAGCAGTGACTCCCAGCAAATTCTCTTCCTGGCTACATGGACAAAGCAAAACGTCCTCTTCCAAGGGACAAGAGGTGAAGACCTTCCCAACTGACTGACAGAACAAGCTCAGATCTTCATTGCAGAGGAGGTCTGCAGCTCCAATGTTATCTGGAGAATGTGACTGTGGTGTTGCAATTTGGTTCACAACCTATTCTCCAAAGTTAGATATTACTGACAAGGTCAGCATCTGTTACACATCCTAATTGACCTTAAACTGAATTGTTGCTAGGGTCATTTCAAAGGGCAGTCAAGAGTTGACCACGTTGCTGTGCATCTGGATTTTCATGTAAACCAGACCGGAGAATCATGACAGATTTACTCACGTAAAAGGATATCAGTGAGTTTGGTGGGCTTTTACTACAATCAACAATAGTTTCTTGGCACCATTACCATCACCATCCCTTGCGAATCGATTTATAATTCCAGATTTACTAATTAAATTTAGTTTCCATATTTGCCATGTTGGAATGTAGAATAATTCTGAGGATATGACTTTGATATTATCCTTAACACCACCATCTCCACTTTCATCATTTCCCTCATCAGCCAAAACAAGGGAAACCTCAAGTGAATGTAGGGATAGCGTTCATGCATCCTCCAATGTACGGGCATTGATGTGAACTGCAAGAGCTTGTATCGGCTCTTATCTGGTTGGGCAAGAACTCCCAAACATTTTATTCTTTCATGCAGGTTAATCGCAGGAATAGAAAGCTTCCATTTACTGGGGACTGTCATCTATCTTTGACAAACAGGAGGCCTTAGAGGGATTTTTTTTTATCACACTGCGTTATCTCTGACTCCAGCATCTGTAGTCCTTACCATCTCTGCCTTAGAAGATCACATCATTCACTCTCATCTTCCATCAGTGCAGATACTGTGGTTCAGTGAATCTGTGTTCACAGAGAGATATGGAGTCAGATCTGGATCAAGCACCACACAGATGTCAGGAGCTGCGACAGCAAGGCCTGCATGGTCTAGGCATCGGAATGATTGCTTAAATATACCAAAGATCTACTCAATGGCATTTCATGTGGTAGCATAGCTCTGCACACTGAAGCCAAGCAGTGAGTGGATGGCCCATACTAACCAGTAGCCACTCTTTGGTTTGACAATGTGTCTTAAACTCTGATTAATACAGTGAACTGCCACAGAATACAGGCATTGTGACCACTGACAAGATATTATGCATTGAGCATGGTTGTATAGCATCTGTACATGTGGAATGGCATTGCGTCTGGTTACAATGTGTTTCAGAATTGACATGCAACATTCTCAATGGGATGTGTGTGGTCAGTGCCACAGGGAATCCTGCTTTCCTGGCAAAGCCGCATCCTTGCTCTCCCTGCTTTCCTCTAACAAGAGAAACTGAAAAGTATTCAGCACTGTGCATATATTGCGTCTATGACTCCCAAATACGACAATGGACAGCGCTTTAATCTGCTCCAGTTTAAAATGAGTCCAACACAAAAAAGTTCATGTCACCTTCACAGTCATTGGTAATGTCATCCCTTCCCTGCATAAATGCTGCAAGTCTGCATGTAACAGATGGCAGATTTTAACAAGCATTTTTATAGTGAAATGGAGGTGTCATGTACATCGTTTCTCACTGAGTTTGAGGGAGGGGAAGATCCTGGATAGATATAGCCTCCTGTTGAGTTCCTTTTGCTTCCTCCTCATCTCCCTTTGAACAGTTTGTCCTCCTTTGAGTTGTCTCTGCTTATTCTCTGCAAAATACTTTAGGGCAGATACAAACAATGGCACCTGTATTTTGAGGGAAAAAGATGCTCAAAGCATAACCTTTGAGATCAGAACTAAGGCTTGCACCGAATGCCATACGACTCACTGTGAACTCCAAAAACTTCAACTAGCAGAGTAAACTTGTGAAAGGCTTCTACAAATTCAACAACAGAAGGTCAAAATTAATCAGCAACTAATCTGAAAGTAGTTGATAATTCCTTTAAATAGCATTTGGGTTTGGATCATGTAGCAGGAGTAGGGGAGCATGCAAAATGCCTATTCAGCTATGTTTGATTAATTAAGAGATGGATTTACCTCATATGTTGAGCTCAGAAATGGTACCAATAAAATCAAATCCCTGACTGACATCACAGTCTGCTGATTTACTCAGTCACAGAGATGTACAGCATAGAAACAGACCCTTCAATCCAACCTGTCCATGCCAACCAGATATTCTAAATTAATCCGGTCCCAGTTGCCAGCATTTGGCCCATATCCTTGTAAACCCTTCCTATTCATATACCCATCCAGATCCTTTTAAATGTTGTAATTGTATCAGCCTCCTCCACTCTGTTCCAGGCACACACTACCCTCTGCATGAAAAGTTGCCCCTTAGGTCCCTTTTAAATCTTTCCCCTCTCACCTTAAACCTATGCCCTCTAGTTTTGGATTCTCTTTTCCTGGGGAAAAGACCTTGACTATTCACCCTATCCAGGTCCCTGATCATTTTATAAACTTCCATAAGGCCACCCCTCAGCCTCTGATGCTCCAGGGAAAATAGCCTCAGCCTATTCAGCCTCTCCCTATAGCTCAAACTCTCCAACCCTGGCAATATCCTTATAAATCTTTTCTGGACCCTTTCAAATTTCATATCTTTCCTACAGCAGAGAGACCAGAATTGAATGCAATATTCCAAAAGTGGCCTAATCAATGTCCTGTACAGGTGCAACATGATCTCCCAATTCCTATACTCAATGCACTGACCAATAAGGGCAAGCTTACCAAATGCTTTCCTCACTATCCCATTTATCTGCCACTCCATTTTCAAGGAACTATGAACCTGCACTCCAAGGTCTTTTTGTTTGGCAACACTCCTCTGAATCTTAATAGTAAGTGAATAAGTCCTGCCCTGATATGCCTTACCTAAATGCTTCTGATGCTAATTACCACAATTTAGCTCACCATTTTTAACCTAAAATAGCTTCCACAAAGCTGCATGAATGGGAGTACAGCACAACTGAATTTTGCAGCTAATAGGCTTTAATTGGATTTATCCAGTTCACTATTTTAATGCCCCTCCATAGGGTCATACAAACAAACTTTCAACTGTTTCTGAACATGATTGGCCGTTATGCCATGATACTTAACCTGGTAACATAGTTTAGTCAATGAGTTTTATGCTCCACATACTTCACAATATATTTACTTTACTTTTGAACACAATTGAGACATCATGGAAGTCTTTCACACTTCCCGTGACTGCTGTTGCCACTCCACAGCTTCAGTTTGGTCCTGCAAGCAGCTTCGTTGTGCTGATGCCAATAAGTTTATGAACACAATACGTACAAATGGAAAGAGCAAAATTGTTTCAGCCTTAGTGTTGCAAGATTGGCAAGATCAGCACTGAGCTGGCTTCTGCAATTAGGTATACTCCAGCCAATGGTCTAAAGTATGTATATACATTGTGATGGCAATCCCTCCCCATAACAAATAGCTCATTTAGAGATTTCCCAATAGCACAATTGACTTAGTGCATACTATTATGTAATGTTGGCATTTATTTTGAGACGACTTGAATATAAAAGCAGGGATGTACTACTGAGGCTTTATAAGGCTGTAGTCAGGCCACATTTGGAGTATTGCATGCAGTTTTGGGCCCCATCTCTCAGGAAGAATGTACTGGCCCTGGAACGGGTTCAGAGAAGGTTCACGAGAATGGTCCCAGGAATGGAAAGCTTAACATATGAGGAACGTTTGAGGACTCTGGGACTATACTCATTGGAGTTTAGGCAGATGAGGGGGGATCTAATTGAAACTTTCAGAATACTGAATGACCTGGACAAAGTGGATGTTGGGAAGATGCTTCCATTGGTAGGAGAGGCTAGGACCCGAGGGCACAGCCTTAGAGTAAAGGAAAGACCTTTAAGAACGGAGATAAGGAGAAACTTCTTCAGCCAGAGATTGGTGAATCTATGGAATTCACTGCCACAGAAGGCTGTGGAGACCAGGTCATTGAGTACATTTAAGATTGAGATAGGTAGGTTCTTGATTATCAAGGGGATCAAGGGTTACGGGGAGAAAGCAGGAGAATGGTGTTGAGGAACTTATCAGCCATGATTGAATGGCAGAGCAGCCTCGACGGGCCGAATGGCCTAATTTCTGCTCCTATGTCTTATAGTCTAATGGTATTATTACTGGATAGCTTACCTTGGAGGGCTGCAGCTTACTATTAATGTGAAGGTTTTGATTATCACAAGCTAATTAATTCTTCAGAGTGGCACAAATGGGAAACAGCTCCTTATGAAGTGGAAAGGTTTACAAGTACAAAAACAAGGTTGCTGGAAAAGCTCAGCAGGTCTGGCAGCATCTGTGAAGGAGAAAACAGAGTTAACGTTTCGGGTCCGGTGACCCTTCCTCAGAACTGATATTTAGGTTTTTATTTTTATTTAGGTTTACAAGTACAAAAGGTTTACAACGCGAAGTGGTAAAGTTTGACCTGAAGTAAAATCTCACATGCAAAAGGCATGGAAGAAGGTTCCTAACCAAGTCAACAAAAGAATTCCAGTTCCTCATATCTGTATTCATCAACAGACTTCATTTGTAGATGATGGGTGAAAAGTAAATGTTATTTTGGCACTCATTTCTTGTAGGACTCGTCAAAGATGGTAAATAAAAAAAAGTTAGGAATTTTTACACGTTGTGAGAGTACAGTAGTATACATTAATTGTTCATTGTGTCACACTTTCCTTGAAGGTTCTACTGACTATTGACCGTAGTAATCCAGACTTCCATTTTGAGTTGTTGCCACTGTTAGGAATTTCTTAAATGTGTCCAGAGGATTTCGCTGATAATCTAACAGATGTTTTTCTTGTCTCTCACCACACTCAACTAATGCAGCCAATCACACACTTGTTGCATCCTCTACAAAATTAGTTGTCATGCATAATGTTTCAAGGCTCAATTATCATGAAAACATTATTTGAATACAATCTGTGTGCAAGTCTTAGAGACTTTCCAAAGGCCAGATAATCGCTTCTGCAGAGTAGATGGTATTTGAATATGGGGATCTTGCGGAATCCCGATATAGCAAACTCCAAAGGAATTGCCTGGGAAATTGAAGGTTTCACTGGGCAATTTCCCTCCATTTGGAATTCTCCAAAAGTTTCCATTTCAATTGGAGAATTTAGAGGGCTCTGCTGCAGTTATGTATATAGTAATAAGTAATGCAAACATGTTACACTAGCCAAGAACAAGAATTAGACATTTTTTAAAATAGATTTGTAAAAACAATTATACAATGATTGCACTTCTTTCTGTGCTATCGTTTGAGATGTAACCAGTGTCATTTCACCGTTCCTTAGTTACACTAGTCTCAAAGGCAACAAATTATTTTTATTTTGTTGTTATTTGTGTGTGTGGTTGTCTAACTAATGAGACTGTATTAAATAACAGTTCAAATAGATGTCTTTTTTCTCAAACAGGCTTTGCCAATCCAAATGATGCTATATCCAATACATCACAGAGTAGTTTGCATAATGCCTTGCACATTTATATGAATGGTACAATGTCCAGAGTCGGTGGATCAGCCAATGATCCAGTCTTTTTACTTCACCATGCTTTTGTTGACAGGTAAGTGTGACTGAAAGTAAATCTACTCCATGGTGTCCTCTATTTACTGGTTGTTCACTACAGAAATTCCTTATATACGCCATGTTGTCTGCTTAGCAAGTGGCCTAGAAATTTGATTGTGTTTTGAGAAGAGGTGCTCCATGCTCATGTTAGTGGTGTCCCAGACAGCATTTAATATTTGGGCTATGTGCTCCTTGAGACATATATCCTGTGCTATTCATTGATTGTAAAAGGTTTGGTGATGGTTTGAGCCTGGGAAGGGAAGAAACCAAAAATAAAATGTATCAGATGCTAATTAAAGACAGCTAACACGTTTTCAAAGTGAGTGTTTGATGTGGTGATGCAATACCATACCAGTGTGCCTCTTAGTCATGTGAATCACTGCAGGCACCCATCTTACTGCCAGTTCAATAAAGACACAGAATAGCAAAACTATTGCCCAATGAACTCATATCATAGTACTATATATCTAGAATTGAGCATTGAAGAGCTGTATAAAAGTCCAGGCAATAGAAGGGGAACACAGATGTTCAGAGTTGCTAAAAGCTACAGAAAAGGAATGAAGTATCAGGCTGCAGCTGAAAGCACATGGTATGACATAACAGCAGCAAATCTTCCTCTTCTGGTAATATGAAGCAGAGCTTGCAGTTTTTCCACTCACAAAGCACCATTACAAAACTTTGACAGCTTTAAGCTAACAAACTAGAACAGTTACGAGTAACTACACTTTTTTCACTGTTGGGGAGGAACTACAAAGTCCATTCCATTCTAAGTCTCTCTGAAAAACCAAAAGACACAGGCAGCAGGAATTTTGCAAGCATTGAAGGCATAACAGTATGTGTTCAATATTAGGGCCCAGGGTGAAAAAGAATCCATTGATCAACATATGACTGCATTAGCACAGCTTGCAGAATCCTCTACAACCAAAAGATGATCTGATTAAAAGCATTTTTTTTATAGGCATAAGTAATCCCACAGTCAAAGCAAATCTCTGTTAGGAAAGCTCGCAACATATGCAGAAGTGCCGACATTATAAATCACCAGATCAAGCATGACAGAATTGACAAGACCTTGCATTAAGTTTTTAGACCTTCCAGGCTGAATGTATATAAAGGTCACAGACAAAGGTTAGGATGAAAATGTTGCAGAGGACATTATGCAAAGGAAAAGATATCATGAGGAAAACAATGTTATCACTGCAAGAAGTCAACTCACTTTGCCAGTAAGTGGTTGCCTGGAAAGAAGCACAACAGTAGGTACAGTTAGCTACTGGAGAAATAACAGCTGAAGATTTTCTTGAATCTGTCAGTTTTGTTGCAAAATTTTTGCCTAGCTTGCCAAAATGTGAACCATCATGTTAATTATTTCCAAGGATATACAATGCTGTTTAGGGCACAAAAGAAGAAGCAGGTTCACTAAATTCAAGCAACTAATGATGGCAGAGTCACTGCTGAAGTAATATGATGTATTCACCTTGCAGTGGGGTGCCAGCAAGACAGTACTTGGAACAACACCAATGCAGCAAGGACAATGATTTCATTTGCTTCAGGACATTAAGACAAACAGAATGATGTTACACTCAGATCAAGAAACAATGCCTGGCCATTATCCTTTCCAACTAATATTTTCACTAATATCTACCGGGAAAAGATCAAATGACAGTTGAGTCCAACTGCCAGTCACTTCAAAGCATTTCCAGCAAGCTGCTACTATCTGCTCCAAAAGGTCTGCAAATAATTTGACTCCCATTACAGAGATACCTAGACATGACACACAATCAAGGAAAATAGAGGTGCATTTCTGGCATGCTGTCCAAAGCAGTATTCTCTACAATATGAGTACAGGATGCTATGAATAGTGTGAAATCTTCCAGATCCAATATGACTCAGAAATTTGACATATTCTGAAAATCATTCAATCCAACAGACAAGAATCTTGGCTCAAATGGTGTGAATTACCCAATAAGGTGAAACTGTCCTTGTATTGAAAGCATGCCTCAAAGAATGAAGAACTCACCTGTGGTTTCAAAAGCATTTTGGCATATGGAGATGAACTGACAGCCCAAGATGGCAGATTGCAAAATGGAAATAATGTAATTATCCCTGAGGAGTCAGAGGAGAGATGTTAAAGTGCATCCACGCAAGGATCAAGGAATTGAGTTGAGTCTGAGGAAGGCAGGAGATGTGCTCTACTAGCCAGGCATGAGCAATGAAATCAAGGACCACATTAGTCGTGCAGTGTTTATAATGAGTACCAAGCTAAACAAGCTGGAGAGCTTTTGATGCCACAAGATATTTCAGACAGTTCCGTGACAGTTCCTGTTAAAATTTGACAATTGTTGATCAGAGGTCGCCCAAAACATATCATGGATATGGACCAGAAAAATCTTAGCAGCTACCCTTTGCCTCATTTGACAGCTTATAATAGATCTTTTAGGTGCATTATTTCAATGCATCACTGATGCTAATAACTGTTAATACAATTAGTAACACTGACACTCGTGTCTTTTTACTTTACACAGCTCTTTTATTTTTAGATATAGTATCACAAAAGTCTTTCTTGAACTTTTATTTGGCAGATTATACATGACCTTGTGAAATCTCTTTTTTTTTCAATTATCACTTCTACAAAACAAAACCAATAACCAATTTCCTATCAAGGTAGGGAAAATGAAATAAAAACAAAATGCTGAAAATACTCAGCAAGTCAGTTAACACACGTGGAGAGAGAAGCAGAATCAATAAATTGAACTAGACAAAGTTAGAGATTTAAAAGGTTTTAAGGAAACGAAAATGTGAAAAAGAATAAAAATAAAAGCTTTGTGAATGTGTATATAAGGGCTCCCAGCTTATTTGACTCCTGTTTTACTCAAACCACAGATTATTTTAATGGTTATGGATTATTGTTTCTTCAGTCACAATAGAACATCAAATGTAGATGTTTGTTTGACCACAGACAACAGGGATACTGAGATAGATAACCTGACAATATTTAGCAAGAGCAGTGGACAAATGCTTAATTGTTAATTCCATATAAATAAGCCATCTGGGAGCATTATTACATGGTAAATGCCTGGGAGTTAACAATGGCCATAATGGCTCTTTGAACTCTTGTATCACCAAATTCAAATTAATTTAAAGTTTATATTAAAGTCCACATAAACGGCTGAATAACTTAATTAACTCTTTCTTGTCATTTCCAAACAGAGAATCAGACAACAAGGCATGAGCTCACAATTACTTGTTAACTCTACATGTTGGTTAGCTACCTTTTAAAAGTAAACTTTGAGGTAGAATTTCATTTCCAGGTGGCTGTTTGTGGCTATGTGTGTGTGTGTGTGTGTGTGTGTGTGTCTGTCTCTCTCACACACACGCACACACACACAGTGTCTCTGTCTTTCTCTCTCTCACTCTCTCCCACACACACACACAGTCTTTCTCTCTCTCACTCGCGCACACACACACTGTCACCATCCCGCATGCACACACACACTGTCTCGCACACACACTGTCTCCCACATGTATACATAAACACACACACAAGCTCCAGTCTGTTTCTCTCACACACACACTCAAATACACACACACACACTCTGTCTTTCTCTCTCCCTCACATAGACACTCAAATACACACACACACACTCACTCTCTCTCACACACACACTCTCACACTGTCTCCCACATGCATACACATACGCACTCTGTATCTCTCTCACTCACTCACACACACATGCATGCACACACTCTGTCTCTCACACACACACACACACATACGCACACACACGCACACACTGCATGTGAGGGAGAGACAGTGTGTGTGTGTGCGTGTGAGAGGGAGACACACACGTACTGTCTCTCTTATACACAGTCTCTCTCTCTCTCACACACACACATACACACACACACACATACACACAATCTGTCTATCTCTCTCACACACACACGCGCACACATACTGTCACCCTCCCACATGCATGCAAACACACTGTCTCTCACATGCATACGTACACACACAGACACATAAACTCTCTCTCTCTCACACACACACACACTCTGTCTCCCATATGCATACACACACGGACTCTGTCTCTGACTCTCTCTCACTCACTCTCACATACATGCATACACACATACTCGCTGTCTCTTTCTCTGTCTCTCTCTCACACACACACATACACTCACTCTCTCTCTCTCTCGCTCACTCACACACACACACACACTCTGTCTCTGTTTCACACACACTCGCACACACACACGCACACTGTTTCCCTCCCACATGCATACACACACACTATCAATCTCTCTCTCTCTCTCTCACTCTCTCTCTCTCTCTCTCTCACACACACACACACACACACACACACACACACACACACAAACATATATACACTGTGTCTGTCTTTCACTCACTCTCTCACACACACAGACACAGACTCACACACTCTGTCTCACGCACACATTGTGTCTCCCAAAAGGAGAATGGGTGAATCAGATGGGTTTTACATAGTCACCATTGAATAGTTTTATATTCCAGATAGTTACGTGCCATGGTGGGATTCAAGCTCATGCCTCCAGAACAGTGCCTCCAGTGTTCTGGATTATTAATCGTGACATTACCACTAGACCACTGTCTACCCTTAATAGCACAAGCAAGTGTAAAATCTAAAATTTCAGGCTCTCTATAATGTGATGGTATCCGCAGATATAAACTTGAACTTGGATAGAAGATTGTATTTGTATGAAATTTTTTCAAACATAATTTTTAAAGAAATAGTTAATGGTATGAATTCTGCATCCGAAACCAAGATGCAAATTCAAATTTTTTTGACTAATTAGTGTTTGAACTATATCAATCTTGCAAAATATTAAAGTGTATTGTAAATCATAAAGCTAGAATTAAAAGTTAGTCTAATGACAACCACTGCTAATTCTCAAAACCCATTTTGCCTGTTTTAGCCTATAAGTGACTCTAGACCCACAGCAATGTTGTTGACTCTTAATTGTCCTCTGGACAAGTAGAGATGGCCATAAATGCTGGCCTAGCAAGTAATATCGACATCCATGAAAAAAATATTTTAAAAAAGACTAGGCTTCATTTTTTATTTCCTTTTCAAAACAGTCAATTATACTGCTTAAAGAATAATAAATAGCTTGTATTTATGTTGTGATTTTTACCTCCCCAACGTTGCAATGTAATTCACAGGAATGAAACACATTTTATTCAGAGTCACTGTTACAACATAGGGGCAAGTTGCAACCAAATTGCACACAGTAAGATCCACAAACTCAATGAGATAAATCAGCAGATAATCTGTTTAAGTGCTGGTTGTTACGGATACCTGAAAACATTCCTGTTTTTAAAATATTGCCATAGAATCTTCTCATTATATTCCCCAAGAAACCAGACTGGCTTTCATTTAACATTTCACCCAAATGATGACACCTCCAACAGTGCAACACTGAAGTATCAGCCTAGATGACAAATTACTTCAAGCTTGAATCCACTATTTTCTTCTTAAAGGAACATTACAACAAATCAGCCAAAGATGATAATAAAAGGTATTGAAAATTGAATCTGATTCTGATCTGAATAAGCCTTTATTATTATAAATAACTCCTATTATTGCTTATGTTTTATTTTCCCAATTGCAGCATATATGAACAATGGTTACGGAGACACGCGCCTCTTCAGATTACCTTTCCAGCAACTAATACACCAATAGGCCACAGCAGTGATTATTACATGGTTCCCTTCATTCCAATTTACAGAAATATTGATTTTTTTATTTCAACAAGAGAACTTGGATATGATTATGATTATCTGATTGAATCAGGTAGGATGCATTTCCTTAACTAGTTTTCATTTCTATAAGTTAAAATATGTATGTTTAAACTATAGAATTAATTGTATGACTTAGTACTGCCATGGAAAGAAAGTTGTTGCCCAAGTCTTATACCCAATAAATTATTTGTCAAAATTTGGTCTGTGCTTTTAAGCAAATACAGTTGCCACTGTTGCGTATGGCAAAATCCGTCAAACAGCAATGAAATGGATGACAGACTAATTTATTTTTATTTTACTGTTTTGAGGAATAAACATAAGCCAAAGCATACAGAGAACTTCTCGTACATTTGTTTAAATGGGATATGTGATGATTATCTGGGGAAACAGATAGAGCCTCAGTTTAATGTCTGATCTGAAATTTAAAGGGCTGGATTTGGGCCCCACCATTGCTACTCACAAAAGGGTTGGGGAGGGGTGTTTGCTTAGTTAATTGACACCAATGATCAGAAGTTGGCTTGAATATTCTATTCAGTCTATGGGATCCCCCATATGGTAGCCACTGGAAGTGTGTGGTTGATCAATGGAGATGATGACTCCAGGCTAACTTTGAAGCACACTCTGTTGTACAAAGTTTAAGGTTCTGAAGGATGCCTTCAGAAAATACCAGGACCTGGAAAAGGGGGGTTCATCTGAGCTTACTAGTAAGGGTTTTTATTGTGTTCGGACTACTAAGGGGCCAGAAACCCAGGCCAGGAGCAACACCTGGGGCCCGTGATTTCTGTCCTAGCCACTCTGATGATGTTATATTGGCTCCTGGGGACAACAGCTTAGGATCTCAAAGGTGTAAGTTCTACCATCTAGCTTTTCCTTATAGTCTCTGTGACAATGTCTATCATATCAATGTAACATGTACCTGATTGCTTTCATGCAATAAACTGTGTTGAAGACATGAGCCTCTTCTCATTAGACTGTCTAGAGCAAACAAGCCCTGTAGATCCCAGCCAGAAAAGAGGATGGTGGCAGCAGATCTACCTGATGGTGAGCAATAGTACAGAGAGCTCATTCAACACATAATAAGCAGCGGTACAGATTGTTTCTTCCAACCTAGCACTAAGGGTTGCAGACTCCTTTTAGCTAGCTGCTACATGCAGACACAGGCAGGGATCTGAAGGTTTCTTCAGACACAGCTCTCAGAAGGCTGTTTGTGTACAAACTATCAGCAGCTGGAAGAGCTGAACATTCAAGAATGTGACTGAAGAGGGGAAAACAAATTGTGCAGATTTAAAGGTGGGGAAAGTGAAAAGTAAGAACAGTACTTTCAGTTCAGACTGAGTGAGTGAGCACTACAAGGCTTGGCTACACTAAATGCAATCAAAAGCCACAAAAGCAACTATTCACCCTCCCAGCCTGATCGTTATCAATTCCTTTGTCTGTCCAACTGTCTTTCTCTCTCTATAGGCTCTCTCCCATCATTTACTCCCAACCACACCCACCTTCCCATTTTCTGCATATAAACTGACTTTTTCCCAGCCACCATCAGTTCTGAGGAAGGGTCACTGGACCTGAAACGTTAACTCTGTTTTTTCCTTCACAGATGCTGCCAGACCTGCTGAGCTTTTCCAGCAACTTTGTTTTTGTCCCCAATTTAAAGTCAGGTTGCAGACATAAGAATTTGGTGAATGTAACAACATAAGTACTAAGAGAAGTAGGAGGCAATTTAGCCCCTTGACCCTGCTCTGCTATTTGATACAATCATGGCTGATCTCATCTCAGCTTGAACTCCACTTTCTTGTCTGCTCTCCATAATTCTATAACCCATTACCAATTTTTTTTTTAAAACTGTCTAACTATTCCTTGCATTTACTCAATGTCCCAGCATCCACCTCACTCTGGGGTACTGAATTCCACAGATTCACAACACTTTGAGAGATGTAATGTTTCATCTCCCATATCCTAAAACTATGACCTCTTGTTCTAGACTGCCCCACATAAGTAAATATTCTTTCTATGTTTACTTTGTCAATCCCTTTTAGCATCTTTTATACCTCAATTAGATCTCCTCTCATTCTTCTAAACCCCAGAGAGTATAGGACTAAACTCTGTCTTCATAAAACAAACCCTTCATCTCTGGACTCAATATAGTGAACCTTATCTGAATGACATTCAATACAATTACAGCCATCATCACATAAGGGGTCCAACATCATACACAATACTCCAGGTGCAGTCTCATTAATGCCCTGTACAGTTGCAGCAACTCCTCCTACTTTTATACTCTATTCCTTTAGCAATAAATGCCAACATTCCATTTGTCTTCTTTATGCAAAAGAGTAACTAGGGAGAAAATAGGGCCCCTTAAAGATCAACAAGGTTGTCTATGTGTGGAACCACAGGGGCTGGGTGAGATACTAAATGAGTATTTAGCATCAGTATTTACTGTAAAGAAGGACATCAAAGCTAGAGAACTTGGGGAAATCAATAGTGATATCTTGAACAGTGTCCAAATTACAGAAGAGGAGGTGCTGGAGGTCTTAAAACATATGAAGATAGACAAATCCCTGGGACCTGATCAGGTGTTTCCCAGAACTTTGTGGGAAGCTAAGGAAGAGATTGCTGGGCCCTTGCTGAGATACTTGTATCATCGATTAGCCATGGTGAGATGCCAGAAGTCTGGAGGTTGGCTCATGTGGTGCCATTATTTAAGAAAGGCTGTAAGGAAAAGACAGGGAACTATAGACTGGTGAGCATTGTGTCAGTGATGGGTAAGTTGTTGGAGGAGAAAGTATAAAATACAATGTCATTTTCAGAATGCATGCCAATGTAGGGTACAGAGCAGCAAGAAATCATATATCTAGTCTCACAAAGGAGTTTATGAGGTACAACAGGTTACAATAGAAAATCCCAAAAGCATTCCATAGAGAAGGAGATGATCTAGACCTAGACTTTTGACAAGAAAATATCTTTGTCAATATGCATAACACTAATTATTGTCACTGGGATAAATGTCACAATATTATTTGGTTAGTGCTCCATGGTTGAGGATTCACTGTCAATAGCCAAAATAGTGCATCTACACGGTCTGGAAGGTACACCATTTAAGATGGCTGGTGTGCAACAAGCAACTCTCCAACAAAAGAAACATCAGATAGTAGAGACCTATACATATTTCACGATTAAAAAATTCACTCTCTTTAGCAGGAATGTTTGCCCTCAATTTTCATTGAAAGGGCAAAGACATTAAACAGTAAAAAATAGAGTGCCTTTGAACAGGAGTATCTTAAATTTAATGGATCATGCAATGATGCTAAATCATTACATCTCAACATACTGTAAGAAGGTTCTGTCATATACTGACCGCTACATACAGAAACTGCAGTCTACATTCAGGCCTTCCCAATTCGGCCCCAACCACGACGACCGCTACATACAGAAACTCAACCTGCCCCTATACCTCCCCCCTCCCCACTATTCCAGGCCCCAAGAAAACCTTCCACATTAAACAGATGTTCACCTGCACACCTGCTAATGTGGTATATTGTATCCGCTGTTCCCGATGTGGCCTCCTCTACATTGGGGAAACCAAGTGGAGGCTTGGAGACCGCTTTGTGGAACACCTACACTCAGTTCGTGACAAACGACTGCACCTCCTAGTCGCGAACCACTTCAACTCCCCCTCCCACTCCTTGGACAACATGTTCATCCTAGGCCTCCTCCAGTGCCACAACGATGCCACCAGAAGGCTGCAGGAACAGCTCCTCATATTCTGCTTGGGAACCCTGCAGCCCAATGGTCTCAATGTGGACTTCACAAGCTTCAAAATCTCCCCACACCCGACCTCATCCCAAAACCAGCCCAGCTCGTCCCCGCCTCCTTGACCTGTCCGTCTTTTCTCCTACCTATCTGCTCCTCCCACCTCACTGACCAATCCCCACCCCCATCTACCAATCTCAACCCCGCCCCCTTGACCTGTCTGTCTTCCCTCAATTGACCAACCCCCATCCCAACTCCCTATGTACACTCAGCTTTACTGGCTCCATCCCCGCCTCCTTGACCTGTCCGTCTTCTCTCCACCTATCTGCTCCTTTATCTACTTTCCATCATCGCCTCCCCCCTCTCTATTTATTTCAGAGTCCCCTTCCTCTTCCCCATTTCTGAAGAAGAGTCCAGACCCGAAACGTCAGCTTTCCTGCTCCTCTGATGCTGCTTGGCCTGCTTTGTTCATCCAGCTCTACACATTGTTATCTCTGTCGTACAAGGTGTTTGCTTCTGAAAGGGTTGATGTTGAGGATTGAAGTAAGCTTCACCCAAGATGATGTCATTTGGACTTGGTGGAAGGCCAACTCTGGATCTTGAGGAATATAAACCCCATGTCTAGATGTCCTCATTGGCTTAGTAATGATATCTATCACACCAATGAAATTTATACCTGATTGCCAACATGCAGTAAATTATATCATGTTCAAGCCAGGACCCTCTTCTCAACCCTACATTAGCTAGTGATTTTTATCTACCACACTTGACAGAGTAGGCCTATAAATCGGGCAACATGGTGGCTCAGTGGTTAGCACTGCTGCCTCACAGCGCCAGGGACCCAGGTTTGATTCCACCCCCAGTTGACTACCTGTGTGGAGTTTGCACATTCTCCCCGTTGTGGCGTGGGTCTCCTCCGGGTGCTCCGGTTTCCTCCCACAGTCCAAAGATGTGCAGAGTAGGTGGATTGGCCATGCTAAATTGCCCATAGTGTTCAGGGATGTATAGGTTAGGTGGGCTATAGGAGGATGGGTCTGGAAGGGATGCTGAGTGGGTTGGTGTGGACTTATTGGGCCGAAGGGGCCTGTTTCCACATTGTAGGGATTCTATGATTCCATGATCCGAACCTACAAGGAGGATGATGGTAGAAAATCTACCTTATGATGATCAATTGTCCAGCTTGTTCTCATATGATGAGCAATGATAAGGACTTTTATCATGCTACATGATACCAGTAGTGGGCATGTCTGCACCTCAAGCAAACATCACATTATTTTATAAAGCAAATTGAGAAATAAC